TAACGACTTCAAACTGTAGCTCACAGAGCGTCATTTAGGCCTATTTCACAATTTCCTTTGGTTCTTAATGTATGATTGTTGCAAGAAGAGAGACACGGTGTCTTTTTGAAATGCACTCCACAGATATTCTAAATGGAGTTTTTTTCAATGGCTCTTCTACCCCATTCAGGGCCCAGGCCTCTAATTCAATTCCGTAATCATTTCTCACAGACGGTAGGACTCCTTTGACGGGGGATCAGCCCGTCGCAAAGCCGCTACCTAAACACAGGACAACACAGACATAATAAACGCATACACACACCAAATCTCTATTCACTGTATTGGATTCGAGCCCACGATCCCAGGGTCCAAGCGAGAGAAACTAGTTCGTGTCTCAGACCGCGTGGCTACTGTGACGGGCTGAATGGAGTATAGTACAGTAAAATTAATTAGTTTGCTAGCTGCTTTGATGGCTGATGGGATGCATAAATGAGTACCTACTTGAATAACTAATCAATTTGACTAGCTACGTACTTGATTAACCTACTTCAATGAATAACCAATTACGTATTTAATTAAACGCGAAGACCTGAGGACATAGCGCAGTGGAAGTGTAACTCCATTCACTCTTAAACTCTACATTATATGAAGGCAAATGATTATTTTCAAGCTCTGGCAGATTTACCCAGGGAAAAGCCGCCGGTACAGTTTGGAAAGAAGATTTGAGTGTACCCCAGAACACACGTGGGGGGGCACACACACTCACTGTCTGGCATACCACACAAAACTCAGGATGACTGATGTCCCACCAAGATTCGAACCAAGAACCTCCGGAATAAAAGCCTAGAGCGTTACTACTAGGCCAAACCGCCCTGTGAGTAATTTGGATCATATATCTAAGAGGATGAATCAGTAAATAGGTCACAACTCGAAGTAAAACAGCAGTAATGGACGTAATAGGTTCTCTATGCATACCACTAGGTAGCAGCACAGTTCATCTTCATGACAGTCTAGGTATCAGACGCGCATGCGCATGTTCAGAGGTTGGTTTCAGTGGCCAAAATGGCGACCGTACTTGAAGTGTTTACTACCGAAAAGCAGCGTTCTGTTGTACGCTTTACGTGAGAAAAAGGACACAATGCTAAGAATTTTCATAAAGAAATGTTTTTTCCTGTTTACGGTAGAAAGTGTTCGTTGCGTAAAACAGTTCACAGCTGGGTCAAGAAAAGTGGCAAACATTTTGTTGATGAAGAAGAGGTTAAAACGCAGGTGCGGAAGTGGCTGAACACTTCTATTCTATTCAACGCACTGGTAAAGCGATGGGACAAGTGTATCAATGTTGGTGAAGAATATATCGAGATTTTTTTTTCCCAAATTCGAATATCACCTGTTTTACGTTTACATCCATTTGTGACCTGCTTAATGACTCTTCCTCATACATTACCATTTAGAAGAATATTTGGAACATCCGGTATATGAAATAAAATAAAAGATAATAATACTACTCATACAGGCGACACCCAATTTATGATCTTTTCTTTTTCATGCCAGATTTCCCCTGAAAACCCCCTAATATACGTCTTCTGCTCGCATTTACGGCCTCAGCCCTCTCTACTTTGATACAACAACACTCCCTCTCCACAAAGTACAAGTTATGTAATGGAAAATATTTAAATTTTGTGATATGAATTTTTAAAATATATTATTTTATTTCTGTATTGAATTCGTTTTTCATTTAAAATGCTTTAAAGTAATTACCGTTTAACTTGATTTTTCCCAAATTTTCAAAAAACCAGTTTTAGTAACGTTAAGTGTTTCCAGGAACAGAAACGGGAATTTTAAACGTTTGTAACGATATCTTGAATAATTTTTTAAGAACTTAATTTCATTACTTTCCGGACAAACCCTGTATAACATTGAGCATATTGATGATATGGGTTCGACTTAGACGGCTCTCCGGGAACTACTTAGGTCCAAAATGTGTGAACGCCTGTAATTCGGTAGGGCTAGAGACTTAGTAAAAGCGACTTTTACGACTTCTGCTCCGAACTCCTCGTACTTCCTACACTTCTAATTCCGAAATTGAAAACACCTTCAACAAAATTTGTTCCTGTGCTTAAATAAGCATTATGCCATGAAGACGTATGGGTGAGTGGATGTATAGCTCCGTCATTCTTGACCTCAGAACTAGACAGAGGTGAGAGATCAGCTTCACACTCTGGCCTCTTTACCCAGACGGAAAGAGCCCCCGGTAGCTGTTGGATAGGAGGCTGAGTGGGCGCCAAAGCCGGTCTGGACGCTGTCGAGTAAGGAAAAATCTTTTTTGCCCTTGCTGGAAATAGAGCCCAGGTCGTACAGCCCGAGTCACATTGCTATACCGACTGCGTCCACCCGTCTTAACTTCAGAGACTCCTCCAAGCAGACATGATGACGTGAGTCACTCCGAGGCAGGCCAGTGGCTTCCAGTGGAGAGCGGGGAAACGCCGGAGGCAGTAGGCGAAAGAAAAGACGTGAACCGAGGAGGACCGGTCTGACAGAATAACTTTCACCAACTCTGAAGACGGTAACTGACTTTTACTCATGACTTCCTCCACTAATGTGAATTTATTTTTAAAATTACGTGTAACGAGTTTATTTTTATTTTCTTCGGGTCCGCTTGGCACGCCGACCACTATTTTGCCTATTGTATCAGACCCGGATGTTAGATGATGAATGTGGAGCAGTCGGTGGAATGAGAATTGGCAGGGGAAACCGAAGTACTCGGAGAAAACCTTCCCTGATCTTAATACCACAAGATAACATGGAGGGGTGGCGGTATAGCTCCATTATTCTTAACCTCGGCACTGCATGGAGATGAACGGTTAGCTTCACGCCCCAGCTGCTTTAACCTCGAGGAAAGAGTCTACAATACCTATTGGATAAGAAGCTGGTTAGGTTCCAGTTCCGGTCTGGAAGTTGTGAAATCTCTTGGCTGTTATCGGTCGGTGGAATCTGAAGGTTCGGCCACACAGAGTGCTACGTACGCTATGTTCCCTATGTTAGCTGCGTCGCAGAGTGTACACAGCGTACATAGCGTACGTAGCGAACATAGCGTAGCGCTCTGTGTGGCCGAACCTTGATCCTTATGCTGTGTAGCAAGCAGCCTAGTCACTATACCGAGTTAGCCCAACCGCACCTAAGCATCATATTATCAGTATGCATAATTGAATCTCAGCGCATTCTTGATTTCCATGTAGTATGCGTCACTGTTAACGCTCAAATGTTCCTGCTTGCCTAAGAATTATATCTGATGATCAGATCTGAAATATCCGAATACCTTCGGTTGCTAACTTCACTGCCATCTGTGAGCCGATTGTCTAGAAAACGTAGGTGCCTCGACGACTCATAACACTATGGGTCTCCAGCCCTGTTACAGGAATAGCTTTACCTTCATCTTAGAAAAACATGTTAACGTTTGATAGTTTGCCGTACATACGACAATCAGCGCAGCTAATACAGAAACCTGCTTTACCGGTCGAGCTGTTGTGACGACCGTGGAGCAGTGCACGACTTGACTGTACAGAAACTGTACAGCAGGTACATGACGAAGAACTGAGACTTTTTTGTCGCTGTGGTTCGTTCAGTTGCCTATGAACAAGGCGCTCGGTCGTTTGTGAAATCGTGTTTATAAAAAGCTACCCGTGTAGTAGACCGTAAAGACCCATGCTCCCTTCTACACAGTCGGCTCACAGATGGCGGTGAGGCTGTCAGCCTTACGCGCCGGCCGCCCTTTACAACCACTAACATTCCTGATACTCATTTCTGTTAGAGGCTGAGTCGACACCAGGGCCATAGTTCGGCTGGAAGGATTAGTCAACTGAAGAATCTAATGACCTAATTTGGAATCGAACCCGCGACCTTATGGCTTGTAGCACAGTGCCTCAGCCCACTACGCAACCCCCAATCCTGTTCTAATAGTTGTATGATGCGTTTAACACGATTGTGACGTTTCTTATGCTGTGGCCACTGTATTTCATTTATACTGGTTAATGCCGTTCTGATTTCGAAATAATGTTAAAAATTTCCCACAGTATATATCTATATGTTAAGCTTCGAAACCTGGAAATAAATTATCACAGAAATAATGCTTAAACATTAACTTCTTTCTTAAACTGATAGTTAAACTGCAATTTAACCGCTGTCATATTTCAAAGAACAAGAAGCGCGGACAGGACTTCCTTCTGGGACATGATGCCGTAGTCTTCTGGAGATTTACTGTAGTTTCGAAGGAACATACTCCCTCATCAGAGTTAACGTGTAATCCAAGCAAGCAACTAGCAAGAATCAAGCATCAAATTTGTTGTTTGTATGACTTAATCTTTAACTCTGAAGATGAAGCCAAAATAACGATAACTGCTAGAATACATGTCACATCCAGGAAGACAATAGGCCTACTCTTCTACGTCATTCACGTGAGAATCTCAAACCCAATTAATAATTTTGTAACGACAATTTTGTTCCCACGTATTTTGATTAAAATAAACAAGAAAATCATAATATTTCATATTATTTAATTTGACAATTTTATTGAATTATATATTATTTTCACTTTAAAGTGCTTACAAAAATTACACGGTTAAGAGAAAGCAAATATTCGTAATACACAGAATCGGAAATGTGTATTTGCTTAGTTGTTTCAATTAAATTAAATAACGTGTTTACATAATCTTACTATTTTTACTTATTTAAATCTAAAAATCTTCATTGATTGATTGAATAAATTCTTACGTTAAGACTTAATTTCAATTAAATCACATTTTGAAAGACTGTCCTCAGTTCTTTATTTTTATAAATGAATTAAAAATATCAATATGTTTCGAGACATTTTGATAAATTACCTTATATTTATTTTGGTCGCAATAAAACCGACCACAGCAGAAAGAAAAAAATGTAACTTATACAACTGTAAGAACCATCGCAAATATCCCCTTTGCACTCAACTTATATCGAACCCATGAAGGATGGAGAATGGACAGGGACGACTAAAAAGCACATTCTGGATTATAACTAACTAGGGTAATTATTTTGTATGACAAAAATTTTATCGATATATTTGTTTTATTTTAATCTACTTTGTTAATGAAATGTGAATGCTAACATTCCACACGTCAGAAAGAGATAAGTGCACATAGACTTAAAGCTTAAACCATCACAGGTAAGAAGTACACTCTATAGATATCACAATTAAATTTAAGTATACATTTTAAAGAATCAGTCACTTATATGCTTATAAATCCTAGTTAAAAATCAGATTACTGCCATGAATATTGCCTTCTCGGATGTGATGACCGTGCAGTCTGGTAAGCAGGTACAAAATTCCTCCAGAACAGGTACCTATGTACCAAACCACACGGCGTTGCAAGGAAGACAGTATCCCTCACAGTCACCACCGAAAGAAATTCAGATCTCAGACTGCTATAAAATTACATGTTATTTTCTATAAATTGAAAACCAAACACTATTTGTCCTAAAAAATTTCAAAATTATAGACCTACAAATTTGTTTATGAAATTGAGCAAAATCAGGCATTAAACATAATATCACATTCTGAATAATTACGATTCACATTTATATAATTCATTTCGACATTAAATCATCACACTTGTTTACATGTCTCAGGAATCCTGTCAGGTACTATTAAGTTTTGTTTTTAAATACACTTTTTACTGAACAAAATATGAGTTCATTGAAACTATTCAGAGTTCAGCTCTGTTGCCCAACGGAACCTGTTCTTCGGCTGTTTGACCTGTAGTTTGTACATCCCCAGGCCAACAGATGTCACTGTCGGGTAGGGGTACCCAAGCAAATTCTCCGGACGGGGTACAGACGAAGTGAACTGGGATTGGAATGTGCTCGTGACCCCGTGTTACCGGTATCAAGGTCATCCGCCCCTCCCTCCACACTCTGATGGCACGACAAGATTCTTCGCGCTTCTGGTTAAGGTCGTCACGAAGCCGCGACTCCAGGGCTTCGTTTGCTGTATTCTGGTCGACTTCAGACACATCGGACCCAGTCGGTTTCACTGTGGTAGCCTCTGGAACAGGAAACTGCTGCTCGCGGTTCTCGAACCGATGACATTTCTTATGAAGTAGTTTCATCACTGGCTTCAACATCTGTAACAACGAGAATTAAAAAATAATAATAATTTATCTAGCACTTTACACGAAGCATAAGTATGAAGAAGTCATATGAACAGATGCTCTGGAAATATTCGTGTAAATATTGTCACGTGTTGGGTGTATAACGCGACAAATAACTTCACGCCGTTTTGGATACAGCGAATTTATTGAACATTCGCTTGTACACTTATACAATTCACAATTACCCAACTACTGCCATCTGCAGTATCGCAAATACTTCTCCTGAATAGTGCTCTCTGCTCCTTATTTAGGCTCGGCACGGCAATAGAGAACACATTGCTGCTCGGCAACAGATATCAGGTATTGTTGTCAATGTTTCTACCTACGCATTGCCTAGCAATAGTCGCTGCACGGAGTCGCGTGTTACGTGACATCACAGCCTCACGGGGAGGGGTGTTTACCGAGAGTTGCGTAATGATAGAAGTGGGGTTACGTGACGTCACTCGTGGAAACGCAGAGTTCACGTGACCCATCCACGTCACAATATTTTCAGAGAAGTTTAAAATTACAAATAATAAAAAGCACTGACTTGGCAATGAAAACAATAATTTCTGAATTTATTCAAATTAAATTCGTGTTAATCTGAGTAATAATAATAATAATATTTCATATATCTTAATTGTTATAAATAGCAACAAAAAATATATCAAATATTCAACCAACCTGTTTAATACGATGTACCTTCATGGAGATGAACGCGTAGTTTTTCTTCCCTGGTGTAATGGAATTCTTATCGGCAGACATGTCGATTCCGTTGCTATGACAACGACAGACACTCTGATATCTAAACACAAAGACACGTGGTACCTTCCTGGCAGCAACCTCGATATCACGTAAGACCTCAGCGCACCACAAAAAGGAGACTGGTCCCATTTCCACTCCCCTGCTCGCATTTATACCATACTGGTCGTGACGTCAGCGTACAGGAAGAAAAAACAGTTGCAAAGCCGGGGTGGGGAGGAAGGTTTTGGATAAAAGGTTTTGTATTAACAGGGCAGAGAAGCTCGGTTTAGTAGTTGTGGTGTATATCTAAAAGCCTAGGTCGTCAGACCGAGAAAAGAAGAGGGGGGGTTTTAAAATATATGGAGGGAGTTACTGAGGGTAAAAGCGACATAATTCCAATAGCAGTGAACCGGTTCGTGACCAACCTAATTATCATAAGTAACAATGGAATGTTATCTACACATGCGTCTTTTTTAAAATTCAGATTTGACACAATGGTTTACATGAAAAAGAAGAAAAACTTGGGTGTAGCTTAGAGAGTGTGAGGGAAAGGCAATTTAAGAGATATAACATTAGTATTACTATAGCTCCGTGAAATTGTGTATTTATAATACATCCTGGTCGACCACAAAACTTAAGTCCATGGATCTGAACCAGTCTTGAAAAGCCAACAGTTGTTAAGCCACTCAAGAACTGAAGAAATTTTAACAGTAATACAACAGCCCAACACTTGACCCTCCACTGAGCCACATTACTCCAATTCACACACGAAAGCACGTGGAGGTACATCTCCATGTATTCTTACTTACTTGCTCATGGAGCTGAGCCCTTCTTGAGGAGCCGCTAATTCTTCAGCTACTCAAGAATATCCCATTTTATGGAACCCGAATGTTCATGCCGTATTCACTAAAGTCCTCCACTGGTCCCTATCCTAAGCCAGATCAATCGAATCCATACCATCCCATCCTATCTCTCTAAGATCCATTTTAATATTGTCCACCCACCCACGTCTTGGTCTTCCCAATGGTCTCTTTCCTTCTGGCTTTCCCACCAATATCCTATGTGCATTCCTCTTCTCCCCCATTCGTGCTACATGACCTGCCACCTCATCCTCCTTGACTTGATCATTCTAATTATACTTGACGAAGAGTACAATTTATGAAGCTCCTCATTATGTAGTTTTCTCCAACCTCCTGTCACTTCAACCCTCCTCGGTCCAAAAATTCTCCTCAACACCCTGTTCTTAAACACCCTCAGACTATGTTCCTCCCTTAATGGCAGAGAACAAGTTTCACATCCATACAGAACGTCCACTTATTCTTAACTCCAATAATAGCTTGAGGTGAGTGATTGGCTAATCATCCTAGCTGCTCTAACGCGGTGGAACGAGCGCGTGGTAGCCACTGGATATGAGATCAGATTGGTCCCAGAGCTGTTCTTGAGCATGTGAAGAAGAGATGAACCTATTCCCCTGATGAGAATTTACCCCAGAATCCTCTGTCGTGCAAGCCCCCTAGCCTAATGACTTTACTGATTCGGCTATCCTGACCCTTTAATTTATACCAAATTTCAACGATTTCTTTAATGATTTTTATTTTATTTTTTTCCTTGGCGCTACAGCCCCAGTGGGCCTAGGCCTACCTCCGTGAAACTCTCCGTTTCACTTCGGTTTACTAGATCTTAAACATTCGGTAGGACTCCTTGGGCGGATGATTAGCTCGTTGCAAGGCTGTACACAAACACAGAAAAACGCACATAAACAAACACTAAACATCCATGCCCTGAGTGGGATTCGAACCCACGATCCCGGCTTCCGAGCGAGCGAAGACAGTACATGCCTTAGACCGCTCGGCTACCGTGACCGGCAGTGTATAAGAATGATATATAAGAATTCAGTTCGTACCTCACAGGAAACAGATCCGAACCCACGATCCCGCCTTCCGAGCGAGCGAAGACAGTACATGCCTTAGACCGCTCGGCTGGCGTGATCGGCTAATGATTTTTATTTAGTAACAGCTATAGTTTTGTTTCAATGTTGCATTAGTTATAGCTGCCAAATGAGTTTCTTTCAGGAACCTTGCAGGCCTGTCATACCTACCTTTGCTGACAAACAACAAAAACACGTTTTTAATTTACATCTTAAATATTACAGAACAGAACTTGCCAGTACTCTACAGTCTACAGACTGACAGATCTCATCCGTTACGTGGAAAAAATTAAAACACAGGAAAAGATAAAATTTTATTTGCCCTACGAAATTAATAAGAGCTGAGAAGCATTTTGTACAAACATAGTACATTCCTCTTAAATAATGTAGGTGTTTAGAAAAATGGAAGGTTACAGACCTCTTTTTAATAATTTATACCCTTATAAACGAACACGCACAATATCATCACACGTTTGAGTGACTATAGACGGGGTTTGGATTGGTAATTGAATTTATTGAACACTTAGAGTTTGTAACTACAAGTAACTATAGCGCTGTCGCTAATTCACATACTCTGCAGTTCACTACAGCACGTACTGAGTCTTCTCAGCTTGTCTGGTAACGGCTTCCAATGCCGTAGCTTCCTCAGTTTCTATGTTCACGTCCTTACTACCCGGCGACTGTCTCACAACTAACTAAACTCTAGATTTGTCCTGTTTGTAACATCTCGTCACGGACCGCACAGAGAACACCTCTCCCAACAGTTCAACTATTGTTGGGTCACGTAGTTTTCGCATAGACTGCGTAGAGAATATCGCTTCCCAATTACTCCCTCGGTGCGTGTTTCGAATCTGTTTCGGCCATTACCTAGCAACGGCCGTTGTTTACCGAACCATTATCTAACAGTGGATGTTGCATAGCTCCTTATTTCGCGGTCGTTGCCTAGCATGAAGCTGACCGCTTACCTCCACCTCAAGCGGAATTTAAGAATGAGTGAAGATATACCTCCATTGCCCCATACTCTGACTGAATACTGAAGGCAGATGACACAACAGAGGTAAAAAAAGAAAAAAGTAAAGTCCGTTATATGCTTAATTAAGCACCATGTTACGAACATGAATGTAAAAGTGGAGACATACTTCCAAGTATGCTTAACCTCGGCACCAGATGGACTTGAATGGTCAGCATCACGCTCCCGCCGCTTTATCCAGAGGAACGGCACCCCGATACACAGTGCATTGTGTCAAGAACAATACTATTATTACACGCGACAGATGTACTGTCCGACTTAGCACTGAAGATGAATGGCAGCTTCCCCCAACTTTACCCACAAGTGACGGGAGTTGCCTCTACTACCACTCCCCAACCCTTCGCAACCATCCACCTTCAGCACTCAGTACGTCCTCATAGAATGGTGTTCAATTAAGCACAAGACTAACTTTGATTTTACTGAGAAAATGAAACTTAGTAAACGGGAATTAGTGAAGACATCAAGATGAGAAAATCACAGATAATCAAGATCTAAGGGTATTGTACAAAACCCGTGATCTCGTAACCGATATTAAAAGGGGCTCGAGTGGACGGGCAGGTTAGGAATGAATCGAACAAGGACGGATAGGATTTTTTTGAAGTAAGACAGAAAGTAAAAAGAAGTGGGAGTCGCAAGGTGAAATGGTCGGAAGGTGCAGAGAAAGATTTACGAGAGCTCAAAATGAATAGCTTGAGGTAAAGGCGAATAATAGAAAATAATGGACTTGTATCCTAAGGTGACCGCCTCTGTAGTCTAGTGGTCAGAGTCCCTGGCTACAGATCCAGAGGTCCTGGGTTCAATTCCCGGCGATACCAGATTTTCTAAGAAGTAGTGGGTCTGGAACGGGGTCCACTCAGCCTCGTGAAGATAATTGAGGAGCCATTTCAAGGAAAAAGCGGTTCCGGTCTAGAAAACCAAGGATCCGTTGCGCTGAACACGTGACACCCTCTATTCGCTAAAGTTGACACTAACTTCACCGACAAGCGGTGGTCGTTCGGTCGGTATAGTGTGCTTGCGGACTACAGGCCACGGAGTTTGTTTTTGTTGTTTGTTTGTATCCTAAAATAGGCTAATGCTCTTAGAGAACCTTACAGCCAATGAGAAAGTCAGTAAAGGTATTAACTTTGTATAGGCTTAGACAAACAAAGAATAAGCTATCATTTTGGTCGTGACAAAGTATATGTCATTACAGAGCGAGGGGATGTGAAGGTAGATTCCATGGACTATCAACCTCAGAAATAGACTGAGGAAGAAGCTTCAGGCTTCAGCTACTTTACTCCGGGCAAATAGGCCCAGTGCTACACATATGGCAGCTCTTTGTTTGTCCCAGTGTCGGAGTTGATGTTGCGAAGGTGAATTTGTGACTTCCAGGAATCGATCGACGGACTCCAGCCCGTAGCTTCTCACTTCACTTTACGGGCCTATTCGATTCCCGATGAGGTCATTGGATTTTTCAATTGACCTAATCATTCCAGTCACACTATGGCCCTGGGGTCGACTCAGCCTCTAACAGAAATGAGTACCAGGAATCTTCCTGGGAGGTAAAGGGCGGCCGGCGCGTAGTGCTGACCTCACCGCCATCTATGAGCCGATTGTATAGAAAATGTGGAAACCTTGACGTCTCACAGCCCTGTGGGACTGTTACAGGGGTAGCTTTTACTGACATCAGAAATAGATATTTCAACAAAAATGTCAAATTTATTGATAACATATTGTTAATTTAAATTTATTTTTTTCACTAGATTTTACACACAGTTTTGTCTTGAGGACGCATTTTAATATTCTCCTCTTCAAGTGTGGTCTTTGAAGTGGCCATTCTCGAAAATGTTCCCAGTCAGTATAATAAAGGAATGTCTTACGTCGCGGTAAAAACAGGGCCCATTTTAGAAGAAGTCCCTGCAAGAGAAAGACTTCTTGTTAGGCTGCAAAACTATCCTAAACTGCAATATACTCTACACACAATTAATTAACAAACATCCATTTGCCGAGAAGAATGCTGTAGGCGTATTGTAGTATTGTAGTACTGTGTTCATAAAGTACACGGTTCGAATCTCAGGAAGGCTAATAAATATTCTAAGCTTTTTGTAGGCAGGTGCCTACGGCTCCGAAAGCTAGGACCAGCTTCCTAATAGGCCACAACTTACTCCTTCCAAATCCTTACTACTCTAAATT